GGTCGACTTATTCCTGTTGTAAACGATAATCGTATTATTGGACTCAACACAACACCCGCTGCCCGGACTCTCACAGTCTTCGCAGTTCTCGCAATAGAGGGGCGGGTCGTCACTGATTTGGATACTCTTATCAAATGTCTTGCACTTTGAGATGTACTCGAAGTGATGCGGCGGCACTTCGAGGTCGACATAGTTCTCCAGTTTGATGACCTGTCCCTCCCTTTCCTTTTGGATTATGTCATTCATGCCGTTCTCCCATTTGGAGAGCATGTGTTGCGTTTGCTTTCGTTTTATATAAAACTCGTTGAAGTCGTCGAAACTTTGGAACCGTTTATTGAGATTCAAGTCACGCATCAATTTGTTAAACAGTTCCTGCATTTTAGTCACTCGGCGTTCAGTGTTTGTGATTTCGGAGATTTTGTCGATTCGTGACAAATGTTTTGCTTTCAATTCAATTCTCAATTTTTTGACACTAGTCTTAGAATACGCGAAACTCTTGAGCGAAATGTCGTTGAAGGCCACCAAAAGAGCGGTCATTACATCCATATCGAGCTTCTTCTCACACATGTCTTCCACAATGGCCTTCAGTTTGTAGTAATTGTGATATATTTCCATGAGTTGAGTGTCTTTGAGTTGATGGATGTGTCGGAACTCTTGCAACAGTTGTTTGCATTGACTCAGATTACTGGTCGGTTCCCATGTGTTGTGCTCTTTTGCCCAATTCTTCCACTTCACTAAATACTCAATAACTTTAGTCTTTTCGTTGACTCCCATCTCATAAATGGATTCCACTTCATATTTGGTGCCATAAGTGACACAACAATCATCATCTGATTCGTCATCCGAGTCGTCGATGTTTAACTCCAATCCCAGCGAAAGGCAATCCATTTGCACTTCTTTGCGGGTCTTCAGCGCCGGAACCAATACATGGTTTTCATTACAATCTTGGATTAAATCCAATTTCAATTCTAATGGAATGTCGTAATCACTGAGAAGTAGATTCTTGTCAATCGTTTCTTCTTCGGCATCCGAATCGATGTCCACTTCTTGTTTCACATCTGGGATCGGGTCATCCATATTGGCATCGATGCTATCGTCGGTTGTGTCACAGATAGTCACCACTTCCTCATGAGCCGACTCTTCGGGATCAACACATTTCTTGCGTTTACTCGTCGATGGTTTACATTCGTTGTGCGCATTCTTCGGGAACTCATCGATGCCGTCGTTCTGGTCATCACTGGTGTCATCGATGGTCACCACTTCCGAGTCAATCACCACTTCCGGGCATTTCTTCTTCGTTTGTTTACGTTTATTCTTCGGTGGCTTTGGTTTGTGTCCCAAATCCAAACCAATCGGTTTGTCGGCACTGAAGACAAGTGTCGTCTGTCTTAACGATCGGGACATTGGGTTTGGGCAGCGATTCTCAGACATACGGCAAACCACTCGCGAGTGAATCGATGGCTAATTCATGAGATAATCGGTGTTTGAAATGAAATGCAATTCAAAACACAAATTGTTTCAAAACATTCAAAACAATGCAAAATGAGTCCCAAATTGCGCCAAACCTTATTGGCTCGCGCTTTGAATAGCGCTCCCATCGACTCAACCAATCAGAGACTGACACAACTCTCATGTAGCGAACGGACCAATAGTGGCATCGCTTATACGGTGAGAGTGTATTGCGAGCCAATGGGAAGGCAGTGAACGAGTGCTGACGTATTGCCCGGCGTTTGACTCGATGTATAAAAAGTGTTTCGTTTTTGGCATTCATTTGGAATTCATTTCAAACTTTAATTCATTTCTAAATTTATTTTGTAATCAATTTCTCAATTAATTATCGCTTTCTTGAGATCACATCACAAGACAATGAACCCGATGTCCAACTCGTGGCCACTTCTGTGGCTCACAATCCTATTGGTGTGTCAGTTGTGGCGATCGACTCATTGTCTGCGCGAAGGCCAGTGCGAAGGTATGTCCTGTCCATCACATTCCTCGTGAGCCAATGCATTGATTGGATCCGTTGTCTTGTCTTGCAGTGTGTGTGGGAGTCATAAACAAACTGATCAATCGTTTGGAGGACAAGGAGAAGAGCGATCACCTCTTGATTGAATCCAAGTTCAAAGACCTGTGCTTAGAGTCGAAGAAGTCGGAGAACCGATTCGTAAGTCATATTTGTTGCATGTCTTGTACTCGACGTGTATTGATTGACTGTTTTGCTGTGTCTTCAGTGCTATTATATCGGAGGACTGGAAGAGTCGGCGACGAAGATCTTGGGTGAGATGTCGCGACCGCTGAGTTGGGGACTTCCGGCCGATAAGGTGTGCGAAAAGCTGATGAAAAAGGACTCTCAGATCTGCGAACTCCGATACGAGAAGACAATAGACTTGAAATCCGTGGACCTGAAGAAACTGCGGGTCCGGGACCTGAAGAAAGTGCTCAACGATTGGGACGAAGTCTGTGACGGATGTATCGAAAAGTCGGAATTCATTCAAAGGATAGAAGAACTGAAACCCAAATACATTAGAGAAGAACTTTGATAATTAGTTTACTATTTATTTTAGTCATTAGTTTTTTAAATAAATTAATATTAAAATTGTTTTTCTGCGACACATCTTCACGAACGGGACGTTTCATCACATCTTGTCTTTAATACAAAACCAAATTAATAACTATTTTTGCAAAATATATTTGTATTTAAGTTAATAAATAATTTTTTTAGTGAATGTTATTTAGTGTCCATTTGTATTACTAATTGTATTTGTATTATAAGAAATTCATATTTAATTAATTTATTGTTTTGTCGATTAATAATAAAAACACCGAAAATTGTTTTGTTTTAAACATTTATTTATAATTTTCTATAATTATGGCATAAAATTGTTTATAATTTGTATGTATTTTTGAAATTGTAAACTATATAAAAACTTGTGTTTAATTAAAAAACCGATCGTTTGTTTTAAAAAGCAATAGAAGTTCAATACATAACTTAGATATTGCTATAAAATTTATACCCCAAAAAAAGTACAGAATATTTATCAAATAAATACTGTTTTTTGTATGCATTCATAAGCGATATAACAGTTATTATGAATTTTGGCCAACAATTCGTGTATCATTTAAATTCGTCGCTCAAAATATATGATTCAAAATATATTTAACAAACATTTTATATCCCATTCAGAGCTCTTTGATTGCTGTAAATATTGATTTAAAGGATTTGCAAATAAATAAATTATAAACATTTTCTATAATAATACTATACAATGATGTGGAGCCCAATAGTAGTCCCATTTAAGGCCAACTCATATCATAAACAATAGCTCTACTAATAATACTTCAGTCAAAAATATGCACTCTTTTTATATGTATTGCAAGATATGTTTCGCCAATAGGTCTGGACGTGTAGTTCAGCTCCACATCAATCAATTGAAAGGCTTTTTATTACTTAAATTAATTTAATCTATAAATTAATTTTTTGCTAAGGCTTTAAATATTTTCAACATAATTATTGCGGATTCTCTTCGAAGAACACTTTAGTGATAACAATGTCTCCGGTGGACAGTGTCTGAACCGATGCCTCACAAACCGGCCCTCTATTCACATGATTATTATTAGCGGTCGTTTTGATTGGACTCAATTCATTGGAGCCGTTCTGATGACAAACACAATTACAACAACTTTTGTTTGATATCAGAGAATCGGAAGGACTGAAGACATAATTGTTTAGTTCCGCGCTTTTCATCGAATCTTCGACTTCAATGTCTGAATCGATGTCCGAATTTTTATCGGACTCTTCATCACTAGAACTGTCGTTTCCATCTAAGCTCTGAACGGTTGCAGAACCAGTGCCTGAATCCAACCCTTTCTTATCAATTCTCTCCAACTTTTTGGCCACTTTTTGTGAGCCTTCGATCTTCACTCGAATCTCATCCGTGAGATCAATATATCTAAAATTGAATCAATAATTCAAATCATTTGAAGGCAAACACGTAATTATAATACTTTGCATGTGAGAAATTAATAAATACCTCAATAGTCTGATCTCTCGATTGCTTAACACAATTTGTTTTGCTTCAGTGTTGAAGAGTTTGAGCTTCAAATCCGTGACTTCCATATCGAGTTTGCGTTGTTTTTTCAATTGTTTCACTTTCTCGGCATCTATTTTGGCGAAGACGGCCTCATAATTGAGTTGTTTAAGTAAAGGCATATATTCGGCGCGAATTGATTTCAACATATTGTTGTAGACGTCGGGCACGAGAGCGTACACATCAAACGCCGCGTAAAATATCATCTCTTCGGTCAACGGTCTGTGACTCCAATACTTTTGATCCTTTCGGTAGACTTTCTTCATTTGCTCCTTCTTTGGATTCGATGGACAACCGGCGCCGCCGTAGAGTTCGCACAAATGGTTTAGAGATATGTATTTAGCTTTATATGCAGGCCTTCCTGTGTTCTGCTGTTGTATTATTGAATGCGAGACTTGTGTGTCAAAGATGTTAGTTATGGTAATCCCGTACTGATTGTGTAGACAACTGCTATCATTCCTCACGTCGTGAATCACTTTAATTACTTTTTCCGATTCAAAGAGCGCTTTCAGACATGTTTTGAGAAGATCTGGATTTAAGAGCACATCAAATATGGATATCTTAGGCACAGGAGAGTGTGGATCAGATGCGCTCATGTATGACACCTGCACTAAAGTGATTTGTCCGCCAACGCCTAGATTGACGCCTTCGCAGTCAATGCCCACAAATGTGTTGTGTTTAAGAATATCTGCGACCACTTCTTCGCCGTCTTTTGTTTTGCTGATTATCCGTGTATTGCGAATAATGTTGGCCTCCGTTCCGACCCATAGATTGTTATTATTATTGTTGTGATTATTGGCCAAATTGTTGGCCATATTCTTGTACTTGAGTTGAGAGTTGTCTGAAACTATTTTCATGATTTGGGATCGAATTCTCTGATTCATAGATCCGGCAGAAGAGGCGCTATTGACTCGTGAGGGCGAAGATATCGGTGTGGATGTGTTCGAAGACTGTGACGACGATATCGATGCCAATGAGTTATTCTTCGAGTGGTTATTATTGTATTAGTATTATTATTATTATTAGTATTGATTTTCTCGTCGCTATTATTGTTATTATTATTGTTGTTATGATTGAGTTGTTCTTTCTGATGAAGAAGTCGTTCGGGAGTGAGTGATACTGAGTTGGACTGAACTAAAAAGATCTTGGAATTCATTTTGAGAAACGTTATCAAATCGTTCGCATTCTTCACACAATTAGTCCACAATTCTTCGGTGCAATTGTTCTTCAAGTGATTAAACAGCAAATCGATGGTCAGTTTTGACGAGTATTGTGGGATCAGTTGCGTTATCTCTATCTCAAGCATTGAAATGAACTGTTGAGAGAGATAGGGATCAAATGGCACTTCTTCGGGCATTCTAGTCAGCGATCCCTTGGTCTTGCCGTCGGCCTCCAGTTTTGTGATCACACTCTGGAGGACCACGTATTCATCGGTGACGACAAACACATCCGAGTGTTTGCACAAAAAATCCTTGAATTCTCGGGAGTGTTGACCGGAGACGTGCCGTACTTCTGGCGGTGCCTGCGATCGATGGCCTAACAGACTCTTGAGGGGCACCTCTGCGTTGCCATATTGGGCCAACTTTTCCCTGAAGAACTCAACCGCTTCTCGAGTGTAATCCCGTCGTCCGGAGCCTTCGGTTCCGTTCGTCTCTTTAACTAATGGAGTGATCGACACCTTAGAGGCAAAACACATCAACACATGAGTGGTTAGATATCAAGTGGTACTGGAAGTGGTCAGTGGTATACCTGATCCGAGTCTATAGAGAACAATGACGGGTATTGTGAGAGAAACTTCTTGAGTCCGGACTGACTTCCGCCGGCGATTTGTCGCATCTCTTTCGTGAAGCCTTTGGTCCCGAACTGACACGAGAGGTCGTGAAGAGTCCGCGGCTGGTCTTTGGCCATCAGTCGGTCCAAGAAGAACATGAGAGTCATGTTTCGCACGTAATCGTAGTCTTCCATCACTGATGCCGAAGAAGTCAAGACTCAAGACATCCAGAGAAATGGTATCAATTGATTAGACAGTGTTTTGAGGCAATTGTGGCACAAATTAGCAAAACATTTGAATTGAATTGCATTTTATGTTATTATCACAAGACATGACATTCAATCACTTGAATTGATCCGCAGAACCATTGTTTCGGTCGATTGTCCCCAATCTGTGTCCGATTCGCAAACAAACACAACAATCAGTCAATTGTAAACATTTTCGTCAAAACATGTGTTCATTAATTAAATCAATATTTGATTAAAAACTGATTAAAAGTTTAAAAATAAAATGAAAACTAAAATGAAATGAAATATTGAATGAAAAACAATGCAAACAAAAGTGAAGACAAACACTGCATAAACATAGCGTACGCTTGTATTCACTGCATTGTATTCAATGCTATATAACTTATATAACACAGTATTAGTGGTTATAATATTTGGCAAATATTATGCAATTAATTATTCAATAAATATTTGGTATTATAATAAATGACATAAATTTCATAAACATTTCATAAATACCTTTATATATCACATATTTTTGGGTTAACACATATTCATACAAATATAATACACTGTGTTTTGTGTGAAAGTATTTGAGTTTTACAAGCGATCGAGAATAACATGTATGGTATAGAAGTTGTTAAACGACATACATGTAAGTTAGAGAATTTATATATTGCTCATAGTATTGGGCATTAATGTAAGTTTTATACAACTTTATATGTGGTTATATAATAAACTCAATGATAGTCCCAAATGTTGTAGACTTTCTGCTCACAGCTATCGCTAAATATGTGGCAAATATTTCCTTTACTTTACTATCAATTCTTGTATTCAATACAAACATAGACTCCGTTTTCGGACTCTTTCTTAGTTTATAGTGAAAACCGATAAAAAATAACAATAACTAAAATCAATATTAATGACTGGTATTACGTATAATAACTATAATCTAGTTTTGGGCACAAATAAAAAACAATGAAAGCATAATTATATCGATCAAAAATAAAATTAAATTATAATAAATGTTGGATATAATTATAAATCAAATTCATTTTACTTATCACTTCACTTACAGACACAACAACTTGTGATACGAGTATTACAAGTGTATTAAGAATGCATTAACTAATTATTAGTTGCATTTATTATTAGAAAATTAAAAGTCTATTGACTGATGACTTCATGTAGGAGTCGGATGTCATTGATATCTTTTATACCATTTATTATTATGTCTTTTCATTTATCACTTATTTATCGTTTATTAAGAAAACTTTTTGTGTTTCTTATG